TTTTGTTTGATTTACCATGAAATATTTTATAAAATATACTGATAATCTTATCTCCTGGCGGTAACTTTATTGTAAAATTGGCATGTAGCAATGGTCTCCAAATATTTTAATGTCTCCCGGCGCCCTTCAGAAGCAGTTTCGTGCAGCCTGAACATGCGTGTGAACAGAATCTAGCTGGAGCACCTCATGGGCTTTGGCTCTTTTTAATAGCTTCGTTTTCAGGGCACAAATACATCTTACAAAGTAAAAAGGAGGTTACCAAGTAGAAGCACATTCTGTCACAAAAGGCATCAGCAGACAACCATGCTTCATCCGTCCACGCCATCTGGTTTAGATAAAAGAAGAGGTATATTAGGAAGATTTTTTCGACACAAATCTTTTTTTTTCTCTTTTAATTTTTTCTTTTTTTTTTTCTTGCTTTTTTTTTTTATAGCTATTCAGAGTGGACAACCAGAAGATGAGTTTGTTTCTATCTGATTAAAAGCAGTAGAAAAAATTCTGTGGTGTTTATATTTTGGTTGTCCTAAAAGAGCTCTGCTTTTCTCTTTGCTCTGAGACATACTTCTTTAATATACTTATTTTGCAGACGTCGATTGCAAAGATACCAAACCGAAAGTGTTCCAGGCATGGAGAAAGAGAACGTGCAAGAAACTTAAAATGAATTGCCTGCTTAGTCGGTCCACCATGATATCTTGTAGCCCCTTTAATGGTGGTACTAATTGCTCTTACTGGTGTGATAGATTTAATAGCTGTTTTAAACGAAATAATTTCAACGGAACAGAGAGTTCTGAACATTTACGAACTCGTCAAAATTTTACCACATCTGGGGCTTGGAGCATTCATATTAGACCCCTCTTGTGTAACCAAAATGTGACTTATTGGTTTAAAGTCCAGACATCTAGAAATCAAGGTAGGTAAATGAAATCTCGAGTTAATTTAACACCGTCTCAAGTCTTTTAAAATTTTAAATCATTTATAGCTTTTTGAGGACATTAGTCTTTTACTGGTCGCACCTGTTTCGCAGTTAATTTGCTTGACTAGAGTCAACTGCATGGTGCCCACTCTTTCACTTAACGAAATGAAAACACTTTCTAAGCAGAGAAAAAAGTTAAGAACGAAACAAATCAGTGAAATAGCATATTTTATACAGCTTATAATTTCCCTTCCTTTTATCATTTTCGCAGGAGAGACAAACGGCATAGAAGGGAGAAAGGCAAGAGATTTATAGTTAGAGCATGCGCAGTAATAATAGAACATCTATATATATATATATATATATATTAGTTAGAGCAATAATAAAAGTACATCTAAATATATATATAACAACTGCACAGGTCTAAACTAGATAGCCTATGTTGCATTGCGACGACAGTTTCAAATCATTAACCGACTGTATAGCCGACTGCCAGATAGATCTGGTAGATTGACTCAGCGATTGACCTACTTGACTGTTTCACTGATTTATTGATTGACTGACTGATCCATTGATTTATTGATGTGTTTCATTTAGGAAAAGAGATGTCGTATTCTGAATTTTTACAGAAAACTTATCCTTACAAAGTGTAACGCCGAGAAGGTAGAGTTCTTTGACAGTGCTATCGTTTCTGAAGCATTGAAGGTGTGAAAACTGAACGGAATTATGTTGCAGCCAATGGGAAACAATACATTATGACACAAAACAGAGATACATTTCTTTAGGATCTTTTTAGTAATGGGGCTATGCACTGGCAAGTTTACCCAATCTAACGAAGGCCACAAGACATTAGAGAACTCAAACATAACAAAAACAACAAGTGTGCAGGCCATGCAGGGTATCTGGAGATTTCGAACATTGAAAATTCTTCCCTCCCACTCTCGGTAAGCTTTCCCCGTCGAGTATTGAGAGTTCCCTTCCACCTTTACAGTTCAATGGCTAAATTATTTACACTGGTGAGGATAATATTATAGTCTTGCTTTCCCTAGCTATCCTACCATTTACTTTCTTCCGATTTTCATGATCAGGACGCAGTATCCGCGCTTGAGAGTGAAATTATCTTTCGCGCTGGGGGAAATAACCCAATTAAGGAGGATGTAATGTTCACCACACTGGTATTTGAGGACTTTCTATATAGACTGGCTCTATCACATTTCAACGCTACAACTACCAATTTCTCCTTCTTCAGAAATAATTCAGGTAGGTCTTGCATGTAACTGAAGATATTCTTGTGAAGATTAATTAAGTATTTACAAACGCGAACTGTAAGGTGCAAATGATCATGATGAGATGTCGTGGATTCTGAATGAATGATTGAAATGGAAACAAGTAAAATAACCAAAAGCGCAACAATAAATAATCCTGCGTGGTCAAGGAGTGCGGCCGCTGAGTTCTTTATCTTCTATCTTTTTTTGTCTTTGGTTTTTATTTGTTATTATCATTATTATAATGGCAGTACAAACGTCTGGATGCCCAGAGTAAAGATTAAAAGCTTAGGCTGGGCGGCAAGCCGTAACCAGCCACAGCATCGAATAAAACTTATGACAACAATTAC